GCAGATCATCAGATGCTTGAGCCACTAAGTCTTGTAACTGACTACTTGAGTAATTATTATCCTCTAGGAACCGTAATACTGTACTTAAATTGCTTCTTTCATCTGGCACCCAGAGTACTAGTCGGACAAGCAATCTGCAATCCCTGCGATAACAGTGCCAATCCAGCCGGCTGCAGCCGGTCAACAGAGGCTTCCGCCGGCAGAGTGCCCACATAAGCATTGAAATTGTAGATGCCACAGGGACACGTGTCAGTAATATCCCTCCGACTAATCCCACACAGAGAATCAACCGTCTTTCCTTCACGAACAACCTTGAAGCTCTGTCTACCCACACCCATCGGCACAGAGTGCGACCACATTCCGGGCTTGGCATTATAAGTTTCAGCCTCGCGGCCAGACTGCACATGCACGGTAGCAGGAGTCTTCAGCATCGTTACGATGAACACCTCGTCGGTCATGTTATCCGCGCCATCGGGTCGTCCACAGACGAAGTTGCCACTCCAGCTGTTGGAGCACCCTTGCATTGTCGTGTCGGTTGCATCACAGTTCACATTCTTGGGGGTCGTTCGGTACCAGTAGACCAGCTTTTCTTCGTCGAGGAAACGGATTGGTAGTTTTGAGCCAGCTCTGTAGGCGGCTATGAAAGGCTTTGCCATATCGAGCCAGCCATTATGTGGCCTGTTTATGCGTTATTCGCCGTCGCCCCTTTTGCGTCTTGGGGGAGTTCTGCTTACATGCCCATGACCCATTTGGAGGCACCGTCGTCTATGTGCGGCGATGATAGCGGACCAATGTAGTGCGATTCACCGTAGTCATTCCAGGTGAGAAGCTCTACGAAGCGAGGGCTGGTAGCTAGAATTTCTCTCCATCGGTTATACCACAGGAGTCCAGAGGGAAATACCCAGTTTTTGGTGTAAGAGACGTCGCCGCCGAAATGTGTCGAGAACCAAGGTGACACCGCTAATTTTGAATCAGCATAAGAAAGAAAACTTGTTCGAGCCACTTACACGCGATGTAGGGCTTCCCGTTAAGAGCCGTCTTGTAAGCATTATCACTATCGGCAACAACGAGCTGCTTGTTAGGAGTTGGAGACCCATTGCTTCCATTGTTTCCCCACGCAATCCAGTTCAGAGCGGCCTGAAGATTGCTGAAATCACCCCGACCGGGGTGGAAATTGGGTGCAAAATATATATCGCTGTCGGCGGCTGCTCTGATCGCTGCGATGTCGACACCATCACCGGCGAAAGAAGACACAAATACTTTTCCATCAACCTTGAGCTGGGCAGGTAGATTGGCATACTGCGCGATCTTCGCACCGACTGCATTGCCCTGAGTAGTCTGCCACCAGTTGAAGTCAAAAGAGATGAACACTTTCATGCCATTGTTGGCGGCAGATTGATACGCAAACCCCAGTTGCGTGTCCGTGTAAGAATCAGTGCCGATGTTCAAGGCGAAAGCGTCGATGCCTGCATATTGGGCGCGCTTCATATCGTCGTCATAGTCGCTAGCACTCTGGCGGTTGCTAACGATGCCAATCTAACGAGAGTTAATACTGGATTCATGATTCAATGGGGGATGCCGGAGTGCCATGCCATGAAGTGGCAGAAAACAAGCTTGTTTCCATAGTTGTCATCAGAACTAGCCATGGCAGTGTATTCAGTTGGGAGCGAGGAAGCTATGATGAAAGGAATGTGGCCAAGCAGGGCCACAATGGGTCCTGGCAACATGAAGTTGGGAATGGATGCGTGAGTTAGCATACGATCGCAACGAAAAGCTCGCAGCGAAAAGAATAAGGAAAAGACTAAGAAAGAGAGAATGCACTGTGGGATCGCGATCTTGATGTACTCATTTGATTAAAAAGCGCATTGCCTACATTCTCGCTCACTTCTTAAATGCGTTTCTAGAAAATAGATAAACGTTCCTTGTAACCGTAGTGGGAATTTACCATGGAGGAGCACCCCAGACGTCGAATGGCCCATGCGAACTGGGCTGTCATGAGGGCAAGGTTCAAAACCGTACAGAGCGCAACCGAGTCCATGTTTACTTGTAAACTGGCTTGGGTGGCGTTGCAGGAGTACTAAAATATATCCGAATGACCACCACACCGGTGGTTTGGTTACTTGAACATCCATATTTTATAATGGATCTTCCAGATACAATAAACGCGCAACCAGGCTCATAGGCCATAAATCACCCCCTGCACATGCCTGAATTAATGGCAGAAAAATAACAGCAAAAAGAAATGGCATTTCACTCAATGTTTCTGTGTTACGTAGCTCCCGCCCCTTTTATACAGGTTGACGGGTACCACGTGTAGCTAATTTCGAGAGTAACTTCCAATGCAGTGCGCTGGGTCATTCCTTGAAGTGACCAGAAGTTTTACCAGGAACTCCGTCTGCAAATCTCTTGCCCGCTCGTATAATTCGTTTTATTCTGTGACTTGAAGGCTCCCGCGTCATTGCCGCCCCAAGGTCGACCTTTTCGTTAGAATGATACAACAAAAGTAAAAAAGAACCAAAAAGAAGTATAGGCGGGAACCGGGATTACACTGCAACTTTTGAAAATCGACCTGATCAGACATCAATAAAAAACTACACCGTTGACCCTCAGATCCTCGACCCGAGGAAGGGGGAGACGGTTCATATCTTTGAGGGAGTTTATGATCCCTGTATAGACAGACCGGTCATTGAAATTATCAACGTGTTTGGCGACGTCGAAGCCTAGATAGCTTAGTACCAAGGAACCAGCTCATGATTGTGTGCGTTATAAATAAAAAATAGTCGTGTAGGCTGTAGAGATAATAGAGACTTTGGATGCACAACGTTATATTATCCCATTAAGGCATTTTTGATTTGGCCTTTTCAATAATTCAAATATCTGATCCTCGATAAGTCTATTTCCGTCAAGTCTAGAGAATATTGCTCGCCGAACTGACCTTGTGGCACCGAACATACGTGATCAAGGAGCAGACTTGAACGTTTAACCATGATGTTAACATAAACATAAACCACCCCTGTTCTCTATAGTAGGTTGTTCAATATCTCTTAGGCGGGAACCGGGATTACACCGCACTCTTTGAGAAATCGACTCAAAGCAATTTCGTGATCAGGCATCAATAAGGAACGTTCACCGTTAATCCTCAGAATCTCACGCCCGAGGAAGGGGAGACCGGTGCATATCTTTGAGGGAGTTTATGATCCCTGTGTAGACCGAGCGGTCATTGACATTACCAACGCGTTTGGAGACGCCGAAGCCCAGATATAAAACTGGCTAGTTCTCTGGCCGGTCCATTCAAACTCTGTTCCTTTGTTAACCATGCAATCTATGGACAGACTCGCACTGATGATCGCTATGGCCCTGGCCACAGCCGTAGCAGCGGTGCCGAGGCCAGTTCTCAATACCCGGTCTACAATAAATGTAGTCGATTCAACAATCCTTTCGAGCACTTTCGCTGGCGAGCTTTAGATGCTCTTCATTCCTCTCCAACTCATCGCCTGGGAAAATCCCAACTGTACTAGAGATTTCGGTGTCACACAATTCATCGACTCGGTTCTGCAGGGAATATCTTCAACGCGCTGTCCCGCAGTTTCCAACTAAACCGTACATAGCTGGTCCAAGAGCAGCTAGATATACCCATAGGCAATAGCTACTCCAATAAAGCAGAATTGGCTTACGAAATTTCCTCCTATAGCAACTGTTGGAGTGGAAGTCCTACATGTCATAATACGCCCCGTTTACATGTCACCGGTTGTGGGAAACCTAGGGCTGCCCACAAATGAAAAGATAACCACGAAAGATAGTAAATGTCATTCAGTAAACGCGATGGTTATCCATATTTTGTTCTATTGAGATTATCATCCAAAAATCGTCTGCGACAAAACCATAACTAAAAGGATCCACCCTATGATAACAGACTATCCAAAAGCCAGAGCATTTATATGCCCCAGTTCCCAACAATATTCTGCACAAAGAATTGTGGATCAAACGATGCTATGGGCAGAGAGGGGTGGATGCAAGATAGAGGAATCGCGCTCCGCATGCCAGGGTCTGCTGCAATCTCCATCAGCGGCCGCAATGACAATTGAAATCGAGTTTCCCCAGCACTTCCCATGTAGCCACTCCGCGAGATGATATCACGTATCTGACCACGCGCTCTGCGTAAATTTCCTAACATCGATTCAACCCGTGGAAGAAAGAACGGATACTCTTCCACAACCTCTCCGGTCCCCGGGCTGAGCTTGCTGAGCCGGATTACTATCCAGTGCACCCGTTCAAAAAGAAAGAATGCCGACACGTAGAGTAAAATATCATCGGCGCAGGTGTCTGGGGATAACGGATCTGGCCCAGTCCAGCTAAAGGGGCACTCGCTCTCATGGTTAGGGTATAAAATGCAGTCGATAACGCGAGGCCTCTCGGCCTTACTCTTTGCATACTGTGATATGCTACACGATGGATCGAATTCAGTTTCACCACTTGATTCACCTCGTTTCTTTCCCGGACCATACTTCAAAACACGCTAGTCCTCATACGCTTTAGCATATTCTAAAATATCGACATGTATTGTAAGGGCGATAAAATGAAAGATAGTGTCATAACTTGCTGGAAATACCTATACCTAAAATACTGGACATCTCATTGCTCTCTCTCAAGTGACTTCAACCAAACTCCATCGACTACTTTGAATTACTATCATTCTATTTTTGGGGCTTTTTATCCCCTTACCGCCGCAGTATGCCAATGGCGACACCGGTGTTTACTTCACCCATTTGTATCAACGTACTTCGCGAATATTACTCGATGCATGCCCTAGATCAGATGACTCTTATATTTTGTATACTTCAACATAATCCAAATAATTTGGGCCTTATCGGATGTGATCGGCAGCTTCCATCTACCCTGGCTTGTGGAATTCCCACTCATCGTCGGCCCACTTCTTCCATCACATGCTTAATGGCAAAACCAAACTCCCATGTACCGTGAATACACTCCCCTTCCATGGGTTAGACCCTAGTATTCTCTTGGGTGAATGCTAGTAAGTTGAAACTTGCCATGGTGCGTTCATCTTCAGGCCCAAAAACCGTTTCCCGGGCCCAAGTTGCTTTCCGCGCCATCCTTTTCATATCTGGCAAATTTCCCTCCTTCCATGCATACTCTGCTCCCTCATGGAGCACCAACGCCCACCCCGGAAGTGAGCTCTGCAAAGTTGGCTTCTTCGAGGCCGCCGATTGGATAGGTGGAAAAAGTACCTTGAAATTGTCCAAGTGCTCACATTCAGCCAGAAGGATATCAATATATTTTTCAATGTATTGCTCAGTCTGCCCATTGATATCAAGCCAATTTCGTGTCGCGAGCTGTACCAGGCTGCGCATTCTGTAGAATTTAGGATCCTGAGTTACAGATATCAATGAGTATCCCAGTAAGAACTGGGCATCTTCCTCAAAGTGATCACCCGAACTTGAGTTTCGGCCTCTCCACATCGTGGAGACCTGTCGGAGAAGCAGTGCTGGTATGCTCTCTGGGTCGAAAAAGCTCATGACAGACAGGAGATCCGCCGCTGACGGCCTAACCGCGAGAATTTGATCGAGTGAACACTGCAAAGTCTTCAAGATGGCGCTTGATTCCTCCCAATCACGATAGATATAAGCAGTTTCATAACTCAGTCGCTTGACCTTGTTACGGTCGCTCGTTTGAAAATATTCCAGGTACTCCTGCACAGGCGAGACAGACCGACGAGAATTGATATAGGCTGCAGCCTGCGTGATGGCCATGGGCATATAATTGAGTTCTTGTACAAGATTTTGGAGCTGGCCATCCTCTTCAGGTAACGGTACGCTTGATCTTTTTTGCATCAGACTCATCGCATGAAGCCCATCCATCGGCTCGATAAGAATGGCATCGTTCTCATTGATATAATTCAATGCTATTCCCTTGTTTCGCGTGGTGATAATTATTGAGCCATTTTCAGAGCTCGTAAGAGATCCCCAGAGCTGTTGGTAGCCATCGTCCGTTGGTAAGGCTTCACTAACCACGTTATCCAAAACCAGGACCCATTTTCCGTTTTCTTGTTTGTTAAGCCAATTGATCACAAGTTCAAATACATTCGCTTCGGGATATTGACGACCATGGATCTTAAGTCGTTCAGCAATTTCAGAGAACCCGTCTTTAAGGCGATCTGCGCTGCGCGCTGAGGTCCAGAGAAACCACGTCTCCGGCGAATTCTCACGGGTACGAAAAGAGAGCTCCACTGCCAATTTAGTTTTTCTTTCCATGTTAGCAATCGACATTTTGCGGGGAGGAATTTCCAGCCTACCCTACACCTAGACCAACAAGAGCTATGCGAGACCCTGGCGACAAGGATTTTTCCTGATTCTCTTCGAGCTTGCCACAATCCTCAAAGTCCAAGTCTCGACCGAAGGGAACCATTGACAACGGCTCTGGTGTGGTTTCTGGCAGTTATTAGTCAATATGTTATATCTAAGGGGTGGGTTTGGGGCGAACCTATGGGAATCTCTGATGCCTTAACAATAATTGAAGATCGAGGGGATAGTATCCGGTGCACAGGTTCGATGTTGAACTGAGCGCCATATGGGTCCAATTCATCTGCAAACCCTTCATTCTTGGCAATATTCCGGAGCTCCGTAAGCTTTTGACAGTAATGACAGAACCTGGCCTCCACGCTTGACCTATGTGCCTCTTTTCTAACCAATCTTTCTCAAAATTCGTGAAGCATTCCTCTCCATGTTCTTTGTGATAAGACCAAATTTTCAAGATCGTATATTTTCTCTCATTTGCAGTTGCTGTCGGATGGACGAGCTGGTAACGATGATATAATGCCGGTAGTCTTAGTGTAGCAGCGTCCCGTTTGGCGCGATCGAGCAACTTTTGACGAATAGCGGTAAAATCAATTCCATTTTGCACGAGTGCGGTCATATTGACTGACGTCCTTAGGAGGCTGTGGGTGAGTTGAAGATACGGAGGGGCTTCATGATTGTTTTAAGGTGTGGTGAAATCACGTGCCGCAGCCATAGGACCACCAAGCTCCCAGGAACGACTGTTATCCCGAAGGATTTGCAGGGTTTGCACCTCCTCGGTGGCCTCAGGCCGCACTCCCTCAGGAGTGCCTGAGGCCGGGTGAGCAAATAAGTGGTAATCACAACGAGAATGTGGGGGTTTCTATTGGTTGAGAAGCGAGAGCTTGTCGGGATTATGTAATATCCGCACATACGTAGCTAGTACTATCCAATAGAAACCATGCGATCCTTACAGAATCTCACGACGAAGGCTACCAAGTCACGTGCATTTCCTAGTATTTAGTATATCCCGGACTTTTCTAGTCTTTTCACGTACTCACCAAGCAGAAGGATGAATAAAGGTGAGCAGATAGAGTCTCGCCCTATCCACACTCGGCGATCGACCACCGCCCCTGCGAAACCTTTCCTCTATCGGCGTCTAGACTTCTCTTCGGAACCAAGACTCCCTCTCTCAAAGTAACCTGCTTGCCTTGTTTGCCTTCTTTTGCAGGATGAACATTCTAGAAGCTCGAAGCCATCGAGCGTAATATGAAAGCAAATATGATTGGAATACCGCCAAGGAAAGGATTCAGGGGTATAGTAATTGTAACAGGAATAGCGTGTTACAAAAGATGGTTCGAGAAAGAATCTCCGTGTACAAGTGGTGAATCTGATTTCGATCCATCCTGTAATAGGTTGGATTGAACTGAGAGTGCTGCGATTGGCTGCGAGACAAGGTGGTGGTGTCGGTATATTCGGCGATTCTCTCCAGATTGACTCAAGGTCTAGATCCAAATCGAAGTCTGAAGGTTTTTGTCAGCGCCAACACTAGTCATCGAAGATATTTCAACCAATCAAGTTGATCAAGTTGCCCCATTCTTTCTGTGCAGCACGAGAGATTGCACGACAAAAGGCGGTTTGCGAAAAAAAGGTAGGCTTGGAGAGTGAGAAAATCTCTGTGATTTCATTAGGGATTTATATGTATAGGCCAGAATGACTGGCAGCAAGTACTGGGGGGATGGGGGGGGGCAGGGTGTTTGTAAACAGAGAAAAAACCAAACAAAACCCAGATATTTGGCCATATTGAACAAAAGTCATCGTGTGCCAGTGATTGGTTGTTCTTGATTCACGCAGATGCAGACGGTGATTTATTTGTGTTCTTCTGTTGAAAGTACATTCATTAGTAGTAGGCTGCCTATGGAACGCCCCACCCATATTCCACCCCGTTGAACTATCCTTTCCGACCCGTTCATTGCCTGCCTTTCCTGTTCAACGCAAGAACCACGAGGCCTGTTTATCACTCTGCCTACCAATACAATCCCAGCCATAGCCAGGTCAAGCGTGCCGGTCTCATTTCGCTCGAGCAAAAACTCACTGCACCTCATTTATATGACAATAGCGTCTATCACTATTCTGCAATGTTCCGAGAATACCCTGATGTATAGAGTCGAAGGCCTGACGACGATCCCACAGCAGCAGCTCCTGGTTATTACAGCATTCTTGGAGCTTCTCATTCTCTCCCACCAGCCATTGGTTGGAGTCTTGTAGGAGACGACGTTCCTCTTCCAAGCGTATTTTGCCGGCAGACTTGATCATGTAACACTCCCACAGGCACAAATATAGGTCCAGGAGGTCAACAGCGGAGGATGCTAAAGCGGGTTTCTTTTGCAGGATTTGGGTTAAATCACTGGTTAGGGAACAGGCCGCACCCATCGAGGTTGTCTGTTATTTGGTTAGAGCCGATCAAATACGGACCAGGTGAAACCTAACCTTCATCTCACCCGGTGGCATTTGTTTCGAAGAGTTTGTCACTTGTTTGGTGCTGCCTGGGGTCCCAACTGGCTTCTCATAAGAATCTGGTGATTCTCGCTTTCTTTTGTTGGCCCGTCCCGAAGGAGAGTGGGAAGCAGGAGTGTCCATTGGGTTGGAGGGATTCAAAGCTCCTCTAGATTCAGATAGAGGAGGACAGAGAGTTGAAGATAGTCAATCTAAGTCGAGGAAATATTTTTTTATATATTATATGCCAATCTACCGCATCACGCTAAATTGGTTTTTTCTTAGGGAGATAAAAAAAACCCGCAATGAACTGTTCTAATATTGCACCCGGCTCACCTAAAGGATGCCTTACTGAGGGCGCTGTTTGAACTGTCGGTTATACCTAATCGTGCTCATCTAACTGAGGGCCGGCAAAAAACTGCGGGCGCGCGCAGGCACAGGTAAACATTTCGCTGGGCCGGCTCAATTGTACGGATTAGAGACAAAGCCGCGAAGAATGTATAATATAAATGGGAAAAAGGTCGACTTCGTGGCTGCGAAATGACCAATCAAAATCATCTCTGTTGGATTTGCTTGGAAAATTGTCTAGACGCACCTAATATGTTTATGCGTGGTTTGGCTTACGGCAGGCTACACAATCACGGTCCGACTTCAAAGATATGAATTCTAGATATCAAAGCTAGTAAGAGATAATAATGATATGTGGCTGAGCCATTTACCCAAGTTCGGTACTTGAAATATTTGCGTCGCGAGGCAGTCTGCCGCGAAGAACAGCGAAAAGACCCAAGACCGGACAAACAGGCCTACGGCTCATACGGTGACTCTATCAATCCGCCTCCTGGACATGCGGACAGAAACCGAGCTCCGTCCACCGAAACACCATCCCAAATCGAAGGATCAGCCGTATCTGCCGGACAGAAAGGTAGCCGCGTCGTATCGTCGCACGTGACGCCGGCGAGACCCTTGCCGTCACTCTCCCACGCAGGATAAGAACGTCGCATCAAAAACTGCTGCCCCCTATACTGATCACCGCGAGAGAAGTCGCCGAACGCAAGGACCTGCAGAGCCGGCAGTCCACCTGGGCCAAACGCCCATTCGGCAAATGACACAAAATCCTCGGCCTCTGCTATTGCTGCAGATGACTCGAGCACTGCCTCCTGAAAATCCATACACTCGAGGGGCGACCTATCATAGTACGCGTTGAGAATACTATCATAGTCATTATTATCGCTGGAGACATCCTGGTCCACGGGACCCCAGCGCGAACGAGGGTCCCGTGAATACGGTTTGCGCGTTTCATGGAGGAAGGTGACAATCTCTCGTTGAATATCTCGATGGATTCCCTCGGGACCGCTAAACCGCAAATGTAAAAGCCGAAGCTGGGAATGCTCCGCCGTGGGTCGAAGGCACCGCCGCTGTCTTGATTAGCATGCACACGTTCGCTGGGCTGACAAAGACTTACAGTGGCAGATGGTCTTGCACACAGTGCCAAAGCAGTCACCTGGCCCAGATCCACAATGGTTGACAAATTTGCAATCCACACGGGCGACACATCCCGATCATCCTCAAACAAACCTTCCTCGTCGATGGGGGCGAGTTGGCGCTCATGGTAGACAAGGCTTTTCAACGTGGTTTGGTGGTGTTTTATGGCGTCCTGGATGCGAGACTCCGACGCCGGAAAATTGGACAACCTCAGATGCAGATGCTGCAGCCCACGAAACGAACGCAGGAACCGCACAACCGAAGAGAGGCTACGCCCCTCGCCCGTTTCGTGCAGTAGGAAATCAAAAGAGGTTTCAAAGTGCTCGAGTTGCAGCGGCTTTTGGGACCGAGACAGCAACTGCAAGAGACACAGCTGATTCGGGCAGTCCCGCAGCGTAAGCGCTCGTAGGGAGCAGAATATTGAACTGTTCTCCGATGAAAGATCCGGGGGAAGGGTCACCTTCGACAGTGCTAGGGTTGACAGGGTCGGAACAGCTGCCGGCTTTTCGACCCCTGGATACCCGACCCCAAGCTCCGGCCCTTGCAGCCCAAGGCTCTCCCAGCACAGAGCACGGGCGGAAGCGGAATAAACAAAGCCGATGGATAGGTGATCGAGATGGCTCCAATTGTGACGGATGCACTGTCGCAGCAAATCAACCTCGGTCTGATGCTGGATTCCTTCCCACTCGAAGGCCGTCAGACTCGATAGTTCGGACAGCCCTTCCAGACGGTGCCATGTCTGAGGACAGGTACCATCCGTGACGAGTGAGAGACGGGAGAGGCGTTGTTGATACCGGCTGAGATAGCCTCCCTGATCGAGAACTCCCATCGGGACACGTGTCCCAAGCCGCCATCTATTGCTGGTCAGTCACAGATCCCGAGAACGGGCACCAGCGCATACGGACTCAAAAGTGCTCAGGCTATTGGGCTTCAAATGGGTGAATACCAGCTGCAATTGATCCTTCACGTCGTCCAAAAATTGCTGATGTGGCGTCGCCTCGTCCGAAGCTCCCAATGTGGTCGGAGACTCCGTCAGCCCCGCCGCGCGAAAGATGTTGTAATATGCACATCGATTAAACCGGACGAGATGAAATGGAGCTGGATTTGCAGGTTCCTCACGTGCTGAAGATAGCCCACGGACCGGGATTGACCGAGGTGGAGAAAGAAGGAGTCGACATCCAAAACGTTCAGCGCCCACTCACTTGCTGCGTGGAATGCAATGGTACGGTAGATGTGAGGAACCAAAACTGAATATAATCTCGACGAGACTCGGCTGAGAGCGCGCAGGTGGGCGGGTGGCAGCTGGCAGGCAGTCAGAGAACGTGAATCAAACAAACCAAACACGCCAGGACTTACCCAGTCCGCGATCAGCATCAGAATCTCACACGGTTAGACCTCGCCATATTGCTTTTTCGGGTACCCCATGGGTACCCGCTAGCCCGCCAAGAACCCATGAGCCCGTATATTACGGAATAACAGACGTAATACAGATAGTAACTCATATAAAGATATGTAATATGGTATATATTACGTGTATTCAAATTTCTTGGCGGGTTTTGGGTCAAGGGTCGAATTCAACCCACGATTTTGGCGAGGTCTACACACGGTAACGTCTCCAGCATTGTACTGGGAGAGGTGACATCTGTTCACTGCATCAATGCATTCTGGACAATGAGCGACTTATGAAGCAGGGGTTTGCTGAGACTTGGAGCGCCTGGTCAAATTAACCCCAGACACTTAAACATATTTAGTTGGTATCCACGGAAGACATGTCGCACATCGCGCTGGAAGACAAGCTAGCCCACCCGGTCCCTAATAACCAGGCCCAGTGCCTTATTCGGTAACTGCTCTTGACCACAAGGCACAATCTGTTGTAGAGCGCATCTCGTAATATGTCTCGTTTCTAGCTTGGTGGGATGTTCGGCATGAGGGGCATCAAGACGCAGTGACCACAGTGTAGCCATGGTGTCCTCACCGGTACAGCTAGTAGTAGAATTCATTTACCCTGTCCCCTCGCGAACGATATGCAGGATACAACAACTATAAATCATGGATAATGTACATGTAGAGTGATCCACTTTCTGACAGGAACTTAGAGCCTCGTCACGGCC